CAAAATATGCCAATCTACTACCCATCTTATCTCCGATTTACAGATAAATCCTTAGACAACAAGTCGAGTTCTTTCCTGAAGACATAAAAAAATTAATCCTTAAAGAAGCAAAGTATGATGGATTCAAAGAATGGTTGATATCCAAAACTACATGCCAGAAAGTCCAATTCTCCTTCAAATCCATAGCACTCCCCCATAATGGGTAAAAGATGGAGTTGAAATTCTCAGACAACATAGGATTTACATTAATTCAGAACCAGTTAAAGTCCAAAACTAGTTGCAACATACCTCTTTTGTAATTGATTTTCGTGTACATATCAAAGAAGCCACATATGACCATTTAATGTACTACAAAGCCTATTGACACCTTAACCCAAGTTTTAACCATGGTTTCAGATTTTTAGATCATAATATTAATATGGAGATTTTTATCAAAACCAGAATTCCATATGTCATCAGATCTCCCCCAGAAGTTGAAATCTCACCAGAAGTTGCTGCTATAATGGATAAAGAAGAATAATGCGTTAGAGGACTGCATGTTCAGTTAGATAATCCGTCAGATGGAAACAACTGCTCACTAGACAACACTGAAGAGAGAAATCTATTTAATATGCTAGAAGTGTAATGATTTCGCCAGAAGAATCCAGAGAGCGCTTCGAGTCAAAAAGTCCACAGAATAATTCACTTTTGAAGATAAGAATCTACCGAAAACAGATTTTGAAGCCACAAATTTCTAAAATACAACAATTTAAAAATAAAGGTGCCCCACAATAATTCAAAGAACTTTATCTCCAAAGCATCTTACATCTCAGCTATCTATGCAGCATCTGCAATCTCAAGTGTTGATCCATCTCTCAGATCACTCTATAAAAGGAGGCTTTCAGCCTAAGAGAAGATCATCGAGTCTTAGCAATATCGAGTTTAGAGCCATTAAGTTTTAGCTTCCATTAAGCATTACAACCTTCAACTATAGTTTCCTAGTGTGCTTTCTTTTGTGATTTATTTCATTGTGTTTCCTTTTGTAAAATATTGTGTGAGAGTGTATCCATGTATAAACAATATGTATTTATGTATATATTTCCCATGAAATAAATCATCAAATTTGTTCTTATTCAAAAATTCCTTTTCCTTATTTAATATTTTCAGTATTTTCGAGCAAAAGACTTTAGTCGACAAAAAGATCAAATATATAGATTTTATTTAGTTAGACACTGTAGATCCTAGAATTTTCTTGAATCCAACCAATACACAAGCAGCCTTAGTTTTAATTTAGCAATTTCTTCTGTGAATTGACTCGAACTGTTAGCTTGTTGGCCCGTTCTTGCTGGTGTTCAGATGTTTTTACAAGGCGTTGTCATAGCGTTATCAGGTTCGGCAGTCATTTATGTGATTTAATTGTTAATTTTATCTCTATGTTATTGCATGCTTCAATCTGGTTCGATTGAATTTAATTTTGGTATCAGAACCATATTATTTCGTTAAATGAAATTTATATATAAGATCTTTAGTTTAAAGAAGTCAATAAGTCCATATTAATCTACTGTGAAATTTTAATTTATTGTAAAAAATTTAAAAAGTTAGAAAAATATTAAATAGTTTTTCAAGGATCTTTCCGTATATTTATTTCATGTTTTAAAGCTTTTATGTTATAATAGCATATTGTTTTGGGTCATTATAACAATATAGTTTGTTATGTGGTCCAAAATAGAAAATGAGTTTATTTTAGAGAAATAGTTTGTGTGGCCCTTCCATTATCAAGAAATAGTTTGTGTGGTCCTCCCATTTTCTTGTTGGTTCAAGACTTTGACATCATTATATTGTAGTATTTGGGCTTTAAGCCCATGTATTGGTAAAAATCCCTATAAATATATATATATCGAGTGTTTGAATATATACGGGCATTAATATATTCAAATTTAGGTTTGTTAGACTAAAAATATATTACGTAAATAGTTAAATATACTTACCCAAAAAGAAATATAGTAATTAAAATTACATACAATATTAAATTTATAATCAAATTTTTTTTTTTTTCATGACAAAAAACACACCTTACAACTCACACATACATCGAATCCCTCTCTAAGTTACACAAAACGCGAGCGGGAGCGAGAGCGAATTTGAGAGCGTGAGCATGAGAGCGGCATAATTAAGTAATAAATAGTGAGAATTTGAGTCAGAGCGCGCGGAGAACGTAAGAGCGGGAACGCGCTCGAAGCGTAAGAACGATACCCGTTGAGAAGAATTATACGACTTAGATTCCCTCCCCTTCCTCTTGAGAATGAAAAAGTTCTACTCCCTTCGTCCCAATTTAAGTGTCACTCATGGGGAATAGTAATTTTTAAGGGGACATGTGAGACATGCATTGTCTGTCTGAAATTACTAACTTACCTTTTTAAGTTTTGAATATTCAAGTTGGAAATTTTAAACTTAAAGGACATATATGGAAAGATATGAAATATATTGTTTGAAAAAAGAAAGTGAACTATTATTTTGAGACAGATAATAATAATAATAAAAAAAGTATGACACTTATTTTGGGACGGAAGGAGTACCATATTAAATTTAATACATGTTTGAAAGTATTTTCATCACAAATCATTATACAAATATATAATAGGCTAGGGTTTAATTTATTTAGACTACTTGTAGTTTGTCAATAATGTAAGGAGTTAAGTCACATAAAGCGGGAGCAGGAGCGAAAGCGAATTTAAGAGCGACAGAATTAAGTTATAAGTAGTGAGAATTTGAGAGAAAAAATGCGCGGAGCGTGAGAGCGGGAGCGTATTCGAAACATGAGAGCGACACATGTTGAAAATGATTGTGTGACTTAGGTAAATAGACCCTCACATTTGAAAAAATTCAATCACACCCCTACTTTTTTCTAAACACGTCAGTTTCCATCTCCCTTTATGGTCAATGTTGGTCATAGACACTCTTTAACTATGTAAAAAAAATAAAAAATCCAAATTGCCCTCTGGTGATCATATTTGGCAGCATACAACATATATATACTAGAATGAATTTATTATCGTCAATCCCATCCCTTCCAACTGTTATCTTTGGCTCTATATATAACCAATCTTCATTTTTAAGGACAATACTTGGGTCTAACCCAGGTTGGATGAAGTTCATCCAACCTGGCTACGTGGACTAATGAATATACGACACGTGCCCAAAAATAAAAATAAAATTAAGTTGGGTATTACCCAATTATTTGGATTTGACCCGTTGCTCTAACATTTTTAAATGGACCAAAATGACCCTATATTCTCTTTCTCCCTCTTCATTTTCTCTCTACTGGTGGCTCGTCTAAATCAATGAAATTGAGTGTGTTGTGGAGGAAACCCCTCCAGGGCTATTGGCTAAGCAAGGTGAAGGAGAGGGAAAAACAGTAAGGGAGAGGGATGAATTCAAAATTATCCCGATTCATCCCCTCATGATTCAATCATGTGACTGGCTTTGGGTTCATCGCTTCGAGTGTTGGCGACGACGATCTCGTGGTCTACATGTCCTCTATCCGAGATGGGGGCTTTTTCAATCCTGTGGAAAGTGAGTCGGTAGAGTTTTTTGTCGAGTATACCGAAAATCGTATCAAAGCCGTTGATGTCACCGGCCAATGGCGATGATGGGTATCCCTTCAACGAGGGAGTTATTGGCGGTAATTAGTGATATGGTTGTGTTTGGGTTTATAATTGGCAGATGAGCTCTAATTTGGGCGAAGGTAAGCTCTGATTTGGGCGAACGGGAATGCTAATTTGGTACGATCTTGGATTAATTTGTTCTTGTTTATAATTGGTGACGGGGTTGTGCTTGGTGGGTGAGCAGTAGTGGTAATTAGTGTTGATTGTGTTTGGATGCGAAATTGGCTTCAGTGTGTTTGATGGAATTGTTGATGTTGTAGATAATGGAACAAAGCCTGAATTAAAAAAATAGAGTTTCTGAATTCAATTGAGAGAAAATCAGGGTATGAACAAATTATGGGTTCTTTTTCTTTCCTCTTGGTTCTTTATATGCCTGCCTGTGTGCGTACAACTGTGTGTTTGTGTGTCTCTATATATGAAGATTAGGCTTTTGAGCATAGTTGCGGCTACAGATCAGAGGAGGAAGAAGAAGGCGCAGATTAGCTAAAGAATGAAGAGGGAGAAAATAGGGTTATTTTGGTCCCTTTACATATGTTAGAGCAACGGGTCAGACCCGAATAGTTGGGTAATACCCAACTTAATCTTATTTATATTTTTGAACAACTTGGGTTGGACCCAAGTATTGTCCCATTTTTTATACACAAATATATTTCTCCCCCTTTATATGTTCCTATATAATATATGGGTTAAGTACTCTCACACTCCCTGAGATTTTAATTTATTGCTTTCATATTAAACCTGAGCAAAAGTTGCTAATGCACTCCTGTGAGGTTTGATTTAATTAGCTTTCACATCCCTCTTTTTAAAATGATAAAATTAAATACCTAAATTACCCTCAATTATTTCAAATACATTATTATTCTTAAAAATCGTTTCCTCTATTTCTTATGCACTGCTCTTATGGCGGATTCATCACCGGTCCATTCTCACAGATCAATACCGGAGAGTGCATGATTAAAAGAGGACTAAACTAGTCTTTGAGCTTGGAATCTTCAAGTTCTTGATGTGTTGAAGACTCATTGGATTGAAAGAAAAAGAAAAAAATCAGATGAACCCAGGAGTTAAAAGGAGAGAAACTGAAGGAAAATGAAGGAAAAGTCCAATAAACCAATGTGTTTTCCCTTTATCAACAATGCAATGCCGTAAACAGAGGCTTTGGGACTGAAAGAAGCAAAATAATGACCAGTAAACAACTGGGTTTCTCTCAAAATCCTCTCCCAGAAAGAAGCTTTTTAGAAAATCAGTAAGATCTCGTTTGGATTCAGAGATTTAGAGGGATTTGAAAAGAAAAAAAAAGGAATGATAATATTAAGTGTGTTTGGATGGAAGGAATAAAAGAGAAATTAAATGATTTGAAAGAATTTGGAGGGATAGACTTTTCTTCGAAAAAAATAAAATCAAAACTCCTCGAAATTGAGAAGATTTGAGGGGAAAGGAATAGAAAGCAATCAAAAGACAAAATTAGCCTTCCAAATTCTATACACAAAATTAGGGCGCAGCAGCGTCTCCATCTCCTCTTCTCTCGCGTCTCCGGCTTCGGCTCTTTAACACGGCTCAAAGAAGAAACGCTAACCCTAGGTCTGGAATCCTCCATTGGAGACGCGAAGGTGTGCTAGGCGATTTGCAGACTGCCGTTGCTGCTAGGTTTGTTTCCAATCTATTTCTCTCTATTTATATAAGTATATATATGCGTGTCTTTGGGTTTGTACATTTGGTCGATCCTTTGTTGATCACTTTGATCGTTCGCTCCGCTCGTCGTCTCTGTTTCTATCCATCCCCGGCTTAGATTGAGTTGCCGAGATAGGGGAACCTCGGCATAAGGGCTTGGCGCCAACGCATGAATCTGACTTCATCAATTTTGATTCTTATTTTTCTGATTTCAGAATCAATATACGAATTGATCATGTGAAAGAGCAGCTCGCCACTTTTAGATTTCAGTTGGAAGACTTCTCTTTTGCAAATATAAGGTACTCACTTGTTTTCATTTTTTTTTTCTCTGTTCTTTATAAGTAAATTAATTAGTAATTATTTGGTGTTTCTCATATTCAATTTGGCATTTTGAATTGAAGCTAGTGAATGGAAATTTTAGTTTGAAAATTTGAAGAAATTGGTTAATATGAATTTGCTGTCTTAATCAATTTTTGGATTTCAGTTAATTAGTGGATTAAGTTCCTATCTCTATTAAAGTCTTTAGCGCTCTCGCTCTTCTTTGCTCGCCGTGATACAGTAGTATGTGGTGGTTGTGTGCTTTTATCAGATGAGCTAAAATGGGTTCATTAAAGATTACCATCATATGGGTTGATTTGAGCACAACTTATCAAAAAAAAATGGGTTGATTTGAGCACATTGAATTTGTCATCAATATTAAATGATTTGAGCACATTGAATTTTTATTTTTATTTTTATACAGCCTACTGGTTAACACAAGATTTTAGTTGTAGATATATACTACACAAAGCACCAAAAAAAAAAAAACAAAAACAAAGAAATAAATAAAAATTGATAATTGGGGTTATTGAAGTTGTTGAGATGGGTGTGAATGCAGAGGACTCAAAAAGGGTAAAGATGAAGCTTAGGTAGCAAAGAGAACCAACTTAACATTGTGAAACAAAAAGAAATTAAAGAAGAAACCCTAAAAGATAAGATGAAAAAAAGGTGGGAGGCAATGAGGCTAAGAACAAGTTAGGATCCTGATCTTGAGTGAGAGACGAGCTCAATAATATCTTTTTTTTCTCTTTCTTTACTTTTTTTTTATTTTTTTATTTCTGGAAAGTGAAGCTCAAGAATTCACTAATACAAAAAGTAGCAGTACTCTCTAGAAAGAGAGAGACTGAGAGATATTAATTGATTTTTGGATCATCAATTGGGTGCTGTCGGACCCAAGTGAATAAGAATATCTGTTTGGACTTTTTTTTCTTTTTTCTTTTTTCTTCATACAAACCCTTTCTTCTATAAAAATGATTCATTTTACATCTTTATAGTAACTGAATAAAAATAATATACTGAATTGTTTATTAAATTTTTTTTGTTGTGAATGTGCTATAGGATTTCTAAGATGGTATTGGATCATGCTTTTGCTTGTAAGCTTAGTTCAACCAAGCTATGCTCGGATATTTGTCCTGCATTTTTTCATAACAGTGAAGATGTTCTGATCCAATTGGAGATAAATTCTTTTAAAGACTAAACCACAATGGCATGTTTATTCTTTTTTGGCCTCCTAGGCTGTGGTGTGTATGTTTTGGGAGATTGTGTTCTAATTTTCTTCAATGTTCCCTGTAGTCTGTTTTATTGGATCATGTGTTCTAATTTTTCCAAGTTACCTGTATGGTGTGCTATTCTTGAAGATGTGTTCTTGTTTTAGTTTTTCCTTATCCGAGACAAGTTGTAGATACGAAGGTTTGATTTCATGTTATTGGCAGATGAACAAGAAATTGCAACAGTTGAAAGCACCAAAGAAGAAGCAACTTCAAGCTACAAAACTCAGTGTCGAGGGTCGTGGCATGGTCAAGTATTTATAGTCATTTCCATTCAATGACCGAGTTTGAAGAGCCCATCTTATGGGCTTATAGTTTGTACTGCTATTGCACTGGGCTGAAGAACGAGATTATCACTAGACTGCCTTGTCCGAAGATCACTCAATTAGTTATGAATGGAAGCTTCTAGGATGAATGGGCAGGTTGGGCGATGTTGTTGCTTCGAGAGTTGGTGTCTTGGAGGTTAGGTGGCTATGTTCTGTATGTAATTCAACAATTTCAGTATGTTATGAATATCTAACATCCAGATGATGCTAATTTTTCCAGGTCAAGTGTAACAATACATTTTTTTAATAAGAGTGAATTAGCTTTGTTTATGAATTCGGCCCTATGATTCATGTTTATCTGTTCAGCATTTTTGGGCATTTGTATGTATTTATGTATGTATATGAATGGCTGCTATCTATGTAAATGATCTGGCTCTCCAGTCCAATGAGCATGCTAGGGATTTCTGGGTTTTGAAGCTGGCTGAGATTTGCAATCTTGAAAATAATCCAATTTAAGCACTAATTATGTATATGGCTATAGATATGCGATGAAAGTCAAGTTCAGGGAGAGAGAGAACATTGACCAGTACTTAAAATAAGTTTCCTTTCACAACGTTAAAGCAAACAAGATTTACTAAAGTAAACTGTTATTACTTCCACCAATATTGTAAGAAAAAGGGTAAGATGATAATTTTATTATTATCCTTTTCTTTCTTGCCTCTTCTTTGTGTCATATAAACAATAATATTGTCAATTTCTTTCTTTTCTCTCCTATCTACCCAAACATAAATATAAATTATAACTATAATTTTCTCTCATTTATTTTCTCTTATAATTCTCATTTATTTTCTCTCCTTGCATCCAAACAAGCCTAAACAAATGAATTAGAAGATTTCATTTTTTTCATACTCTCTTTCTAATCTTTTGATGGTTTGCTCAAAGAGAAGGAATAGAGAGAGGAAAGGGCTGAAAGAGGAGATCACGACCATGGGGATGACCGATGATCACGATTCACGACTTCTACGGTCGCCACATCCACTATTTTGTTCAAGATCCATCTCTATCATTTGTCTCCAGCAATTGTACGCGCCACCGATGACAACGAGAATCTGTATTTGATGCACGAGGATTGAGGATTTTGCTCAAAAAGTGGAAGGTACTTACGTCAACTGCTATCCTTACCTAATTCCAACAAAATGAAAGCAAAATTACAAATTCAAAAGCGGAAGGAAAACAAAAAAAAAAAATAGTTTTGAAGAACACTAATCGGTCCCCAAGTAGCAAGGACTAAAATATCATAAAAGAGCACCGAACGATTTTATTGTAAAAATTAATACAGATCAAGTTAGAATTCACATACGTTTCTCACCTAATTTAGCACAATTGATTACTCACTTCATGAATTACATTTGTTAATTCTAATTCCAACTCATTACAGTACCAACAACAGCAGCAAAATTAGTCAAATCATGAATTTCATTTGTTAATTATAATTTGATGGGACGATGACTGGATTTATGCTTAGAGAGGCCCTAAATCGGTTGTAGCAGCGGCTACTGGTGTTCGACGACGTTGTAGATCTTGTGAGGTATGGGCACGCCGTTATACGATGGATGGGTCCGGGTTTGGCCGGGTTTCTTCTTGCTAAATCCGATCACTTCACCGTCATCATCATCGTCGGCAACAACATGTGGTTGGCCTCTGTCAACCAACCCATCACCAGAATAGTCATCAAACCCTGCCATCCTTGTCGCCACTGCCAACTCTCTGGTCCTCACACCCAATCAATCTCTGGTACTTCACTTCACCGGACATCGAGAAATCCCCATGCTCGCCGTTCTGAAACTCATTGAGAAATCCCCACGGTCTCTGGTCCTCCACTCTTCTCTGACATTTTCTTCTTCTATTAGGACGTGGCCTCCTTTGGCAGCTGTCTTCTTCTCTCGGCCTTGGGAACCATTTTAGAGGATGGGGAAGTTTCACAACAGTAGAGTACAGGTGGTAATATTGTCATTTCACATTTTGTTTTCTGCAATATATTTTTCATGATTAAATAAAGTCAGGGTATAATAAAAAACTCACATTTTTCATTCTTTAAAAAGTGGGTGTGAGAGCAAAATTGGGTAAGGTTTAATATGAGAACAATAAACTGGAACTGTAAACAGGTGTCACAGCAATTAACCCAAATATATTCCTCCCCCTTTATATCTTCCTGTATAATATATATATATACACACACATCTAAAGATATTTTTCCCTCATTAGTGTCACTTCATGCACCTAGTGCGATGAAAGAAGCCGTCTTCAGAATTGTTCGTCTCTTGAACTCACCAAAGTTACGTGGTCTTGCCAATCTTGACAATGTTGAAGATTCTGCTCAGCTCAGTTATGTTCTTCTTAAATGGAGCTAACTGTTGTAGTTGGCGTCACATCGAATGCAACTCTGGACAAGGTGAGGTCTCTAAATGCCTTTTGCGGTTTGATCATTGCAATTTGGTCTAAGCAGATCACCGGAGCTAAAACTGAAGCTTGTCGGCCCTGAAAGCCACCGGACTGAATTGGGTCGTGGACCTCGCGCGTGGTTGCTAGCTTCGAGCTATGCTTAAGCTTTACCGCACTTGGGTCTTCTAGCTCACTGGTTTTGTCGCCGGTGACGATGCTGGTGGGCAGGGCCGGGCTTCAAATTGAAATTTTTTTGAGAGGCATTAGATGAATTTTAAATATGAGGCCCAAGTTTTACACATGCACAAAAAAAAAAAAAAATTATAAAAGTGCGAACTGTTTTTTTGAGGCCCTTTACATAATTTGAATTTGGTTATAATTTTTTATTTTATTTTTTGTTTTTGGTGGCCCATCATTCATGGGCCTATAAAATTTGAGGCCCCTTAAATTCTAAGGCCCTAGGCGACCGCCTTGGGTCAGGGACTCAGGGCCGGCCCTGCTTGCGGGTCGAGGTTCGGCCGGAGTCTCATGCAGATTGTGGAAGTCCTCGTTTTTGTTGTCCTAAAAATCAAACCAACACATTTCCTGATCTTTAATTTCTCAAAAAAAAAAAAAAAAAAAAAAAAAATATATATATATATATATATATGTACACCAACCCAGAAGTTGGATCAATGTTGTTGCCACATCGATCATGACACAACAATCGCTGCAAATCACTGTTGCCACATCGATATTCTTCTCCTCCTCCATAAAAAAGTTGGGGAACTAGCTGTAGCGAACTCGGCGGCATAAAATCCAATTTGCAGCGATCTGTCGAACCGTCTCGGCTCCCATTGATTGCTTTTGAATCGTCTCGGCTCTAGCCCTAACTGATCTGTCGAAGACAGAACAATCTCTTACATAACCTTTAGTGAAAGTATATAACTTGAATTTTATGGTGGTGTTTTGATGGTACCGCGTTGACCGTGGCGGCGGCAAAGATTAAGGTTTTTCTAATGGTGATTTGTTTGGGTGTTGCAGATGAGAGTGAAAGTATATAGAAAGTGGTGGTTGGTGGTCGTGGTGTTGTGGTGGTGTAGGCGGCGGTGTTATATTGAAGTGGACTGGAATGGAGTGTTTGAGTAGAAGTATGAAAGGCGTTTTGTTCATCGGATAAAAGAATAAAAGTTGTTTTGACTGTTTGAGTAGAAGAATAAAAGCTTAACCAAACGCGTAAAAACGCGTGTTTGGTTTAAGCTTTTATGGAAAACAATAAAAAAGTATTTAGTAAAAACAACCCGTTCCAAACTGGCCCATTCTAAACCCGTAGCCTGCCATCTAAAAGCCCAAAGGCCGGGCTTGGGATTCTTAGGTAAAAACAACCCGTTATGCACCGCTTATCCTCTCCCACCCCTTGACAACCACACCGCCGCTCCTCTCTGTCTTCTACGTTCTGACTTTTCTCTTTCTTCCCCCACCCCCAATCCCCAACCTCCAATTGAAGCATTTTTTTTTTTTTTTGTTCACTTTCACTTCAGATCTACTCTCCTGTCTCTCTCTTTCCTGCTCTCTCCCATCGAATTAAGGTATGTTTTTATTTTTTATTATTTTTTGTGCATGGTTGTTGAACTCCGATTTCTCAATACTTCGCTCTACTCTCTATCTTTGTGTTTCCCTAAAAAAAATGTTTCTTTCTAGAATCTAAAAATTACTAATTTTGGAATTCTGATTTCTAAATCTTTGATGTGTTTTAGCAATTCAACAAGCCCATTATTTCTTCTTAGAAGAAAATATCCTTTGAGTTTTTTTTTTTTTTTAAATAACAATTGAAGAGCCCATTATTTCTTCTTAGTTTTTTATTTTTGAAGAAAAATTCCTCTTAATGTATTTTTTCTTGGTTTTCTGGTTAGACATTTTGGGTGGTTTACTGGGGTTTCTTTAATCTATAGTGGCTACCTTAGGGCTAGGGTTAGGTTTATGTGTTTACTAAATTTTTTAATGAAAAAATTATACTCCTATTAACTAAAAATGTTACTGTAAAATATATTGAAGTGGACTGGAATGGAGTGTTTGAGTAGAAGTATAAAAGGTGTTTTGTTCATCGAATGAAAGAATAAAAGGTGTTTGAGTAGAAGAATAAAAGCTTTAAAAACGCGTTTGGTTAAGCTTTTATGGAAAACAATAAAAAAATATTTAGAAACATGTATATAATTCAGTATATAATTCAATTCAGAAACATGTTTCAAGTCAGAGTATCCAGGAAAAAGAGATTTCAAAATTACCGAATTGACTGCCCCAATCAGCAAATTCAAAAGATCTAGTACACATATTAGGTTAAGAGCTACTAGCCAGCAGCACAATATAAAAACCATTCAATCCTTGAATACATACACGGAACGTTCTAGATAAAGCCGAAGAGAAATGAATTCGCATGAAATCAGGATCCTTCCTGTGCAACAGTATGTTCATTTACCTAAACAAATTTTGACGTCTAAAACACATCAACACCTAGGTTAAAATGATTGAAATTTTGATAAAGCAATTATTATTATAAAATATTTTAGTGTCTGTACCTGTTGTAATGAAAATTTGAGGGCTGGGCCTCCCAGCAACCTGTGAATCCAAAGAAAATTATTCAATAAATGAATATTGAAGAAATATTATCTTTTTTAAAAAATTGAAATGTGAAAAAGACAATTTATAGTTGCACATAGGGAATAAGACGTGTCTTTTGACAGTCTGGAAAAGTGAAAACAACTTACTCAACAATTTACCAGCAAAATTAACAATATGCATTAGCCACGATAATGAATCAACTGTGTGTTAGACTATTAAATTGTGTTGAAATTAGAATGTCGAGTAGCTGTAATCTAGTTTTGGATTAAGTAATAAGTTCAACAACAAATCATTTTCCGTCAACTAGATCTATATTCTTTTCCAAAAGTTGACTTTAAAAGCGATTGAGCAACAATGGCCTACTCAAACTTTTAAATTTGATGAATGCAAATTTTTAATCCAACCTCCCCCTCCCCCCTTCCCTTCTATAATTCTCCCTACCATCACGATGGATACAATCCTTCACTTCTTGATACTTGATGGGTCAAGAAAGGATCTGAGGTCGACCTTGAATTTTCAATTTACAAACCTCGGAGGTTTCAGAGAAACAGATTAGAATTGAAATTTGCAATACATTTTATTTTTGGACTAGGCGACAAGGGTAGACTTGAGCCGCAAAGAGTGGTCATTCCAATTTGATTGTTGAACAATGACTTGAGAGTCTCATATGCATCATATTCAAACAATACACTCGTTTCACATTTATTCCAAAGAAGCGATACTGGGCTACAAGCATCCGACTTTTTGATTTCCATTACACATGTACTTGATAGTCCATGTTTATCCCAAATTTGTATCACTAATTGTTAGTCCATGATAGTCCATTTGTTTTTTTCTTGAATAATTTTAAATATGTTACTAAATGATTGATTACAAATTTACCTACACTGATTCTGAATTTGAACAGGTTATTCAAATACGTAAATACTTACAATAACACGACGACTCGTTGATCCGCCTGAAGCCCTTTTCAAAGTAGCTGACCGTTTTTGCTCCCTTGTCTACATAAATGCAAACATGCCTTTACTTATCAAACAAATGCAAGCATGCCATCAGGTAACGAAATTTTTTCCCATAAATAATTATACGAATATAATTCCAAATTATTTTTATGTATATATACACAGAATAAAAATAAATGTTACCATAAATAATTCAGCTTATAAAGCTTTAGGAGGACCTGTGACATTTTGGGGCCACAATAATTGTAACACACGCAAGTATTTAGATGATACATAAAACATGCTGCTAATAGAAGAGTAAAATTATCCTGTCAAGAGTACAATGTATTTATTATCCTAACCATCATAGGACTTAGACATTGACATGGTAAACGTTAGAAGCAGAAAATGAAAAAGAGATGGTTTCATTTGAAGACCATTACCTAATGCAACAATAAATCAATATTTTAAGTCACTATATTATTCGAGAAGATCCTCATTGCCTATAACTTGCAATAATTAAATTAATCACGAGGAGAGGACGATGCATGGATAATAAGTTGGTGGTTGTCCATTTGTACAGTCAAGGTCATTTCTTGCATGCGGATAAGCTCACCTCAGACCCAGGACCTAATTAATCTCATTGGTTCTTTACCAACTGATTTACTGAGAAACAGTGAACACGTAGATAACTAGTGAGACGGATGGTACATTTCCCTCGATTGCAATCATCAGCTTTAAGTGGACATGTGACATTTTAGGGCCACGATGATTCCTTGGCTTCAGCCCTTGTATAGCTCTTGGGATGCGTTCCCCTTTTGAACGCTCTCTAATATATGTCTACTTTAAAAAAAAAAATGCTGGACCTATTGTCCAAACACACACAGAGCCACAACCCACACAGCCACTATGATTGTAACACACAAGTATTTAGATGATACATAAATATGAAGAACATGCTGCTAACAGAAGAGGGAGATTATCATGTCAGGAGTACAATGTATTTATTTTCCTAAACCATCATAGGACAAAAGACATTGACATGGTAAAGGTGAGAAGCAGAAAAAGAGAGATGTTTTCATTTTAAAGGATGTTTTATAACTTATTTCAAGTTAATCTAGTAGCTTGATGACCTCATAACCAAGTAGCATCCCCTCCTCTTGAGCTATGAGGTGGGGTGCTGGTTTTGCCAATGAGGAACTATGCACCTTTGCTCCTTGAACTTACAAGCAACAAGCAGAATGATAAAAGTTAAAATTGTATAACAATGTGAAGCCAAGATGGAACTTATGGAAAGAAAGAGAAGAATTGTGCAGATTAATCTCCTTATAACATCAGTTTCTTTTTTTCCTTCATAATTGAACATCAAATCCTTAAGTTTGAAGGCAATTACCTTATGCAATAAATAATCATTCAAATTAAATTGATCAGGAGGAGAGTGCGATGCATGGATAATAAGTTGGTAGTTGTCTATATGTACCGTTAGGGTAATTTCTTGCATGCAGATAAGATAACGTCAGACCCAGAACCTAACTAATCTCATTGGTACCGTCAGGGTCATTTATTGCATGCAGATAAGATCACCTCAGACCCAGAACCTAACTAATCTCATTGGTTCTTTAAAATTTGGATTGCACCACTAGATCAACTCAATGGAGCATTGAATGGAAACAAATCGTGAAGATAGATTAATTCCATTCTCAGGTTAGTCCGTCTTTAAAATTTGGATTGCAGCACTAGATCAACTCAATGGAGCACTGAACGGAAACAAATCATGAAGATAAAACAAATCATGAAGATAGATTAGTTCCATTCTCAGGTTAGTCCGTCCATCTGTGCACCCCTAATTTCAATCACCTGACGTAGTGCATGTCATTGAAATGTTTTGTTAATATTTTACAGCATTAATATTTGTTTTTATAGCAGTAAACCCTAAACGTTGTACTTGTTTTAATGAACTAAGTTTACCTGCCAATACAAGATACGTTAATCTATATTACAGATAAAAACAAAAAGATTACCTGATGGCATGTTTGCATTTATGTAGACAAGGGAGCAAAAATGGTCAGCTATTTTGAAAAAGGGCTTCAAGCGGATCAACGAGTCGTCCTCGTGTTATTGTGAGTATTTTCATATTCAAATAACCTGTTAAATTTAAAGTTAGTGTAGGTAAACTTGTAACCAATTATTTAGTGACAGTTGTCATTATTCAAGAATGCTTAATATGTAAGCAATAACATGCATATAATATAAAACATCGTATTCAGCCTTAGACATGCACTTTGTGGTTTAAGTATAAATTTTGTGATTTATTCTACTTTTTGGATCAGGGTCATGTTTCAGGAGCCGTGGACTTTCAGCTATGCAAGGCCAAACTTCTCAAAGGTCCACGTCCTTTAAATGCGAGGAAAAAAGGGGAATTTATGGATTCCGATGAAGTACAATATCTGCAGGTATTAGTTTATTCCATACATCTGTATATGGAGAAAAACTTGATTGAGCCCGGTGCATGGTGAACCGCACTCACAAAAAAGTGGGTCCCACCCCTGGTATGAGTGCGGAGAACCATGCACCATGCTCAACCAAGTTTTTCTCCTCATATATTTGTTAATCATCCCTTATTTCCTCTATACAATGCTCATTCTATTTTTTCAAATGTTAAGTTATGTTAAGGATTTTTGAAAAATCCCAAGGAAAAAAAGGCTATAAGAAGAAATCAGATAAGAATTTTGGCAGGGCTGAGCAAAGCTGTGTACTTGTTGTCAGCTTAAGTAAATTTTTCCCATAAACAATTATACAAATATAATTCAAAATTATTTTTATGTATATATGCACACAATAAAAATAAATGTTACCACAAATAATTCGACTTATAAAGCTTTAGGAGGACCTGTGACATTTTGGGGCCACAATTATTGTAACACACACAAGTATTTAGATGATACATAAATATCAAGAAAATGCTGCTAACAGAAGAGTAAAATTATCCTGTCAAGAGTACAATGTATTTGTTATCCTAACCATCTAAGGACTTAGACATTGACATGGTAAACGTTAGAAGCAGAAAATGAAAAAGAGATTTTTTTATTTGAAGACCATTTCCTTATGCAACAATTACCTAAAACTTGCAATAATTAATCAATATCCTAAGTCACTATATTATTCGAGAAGGTCCTCATTGCCTATAACTTGCAATAATTAAATTAATCACGAGGAGAGGGCGATGCATGGATATAAGTTGGTGGTGGTCCATTTGTACAGTCAGGGTCGCATGCGGATAAGCTCACCTCAGACCCATAACCTAATTAATCTCATTGGTTCTTTAAAATTTGAATTGGAGCACTATACCAACTCATTGGAGCACCGAATGGAAACAAATATTGAAGATCAGATTAATTCCATTATCAGGTTAGTCAGTCCATTTGTGCACCCCTAATTTTAACCACCTGACTTAGTGAATGTAATTGAGATGGTTTGTTAATATTTTACAAATTTGTGCACCCCCTTATTTCAGTCAGGGTCATTTCTTGCTTAAAATTTGAATTGCAGCACTAGACAAACTCATTGGAGCACCGAATGGAAACAAAGCATGAAGATCAGATTAATTCCATTCTCAGGTTAGTCAGTCCATTTGTGCACCCCTAATTTCAACCACCTGACTTAGTGAATGTAATTGAGATCGTTTGTTAATATTTTACAGCATTAATTTTTGTTTTTATATATGTAAACCCCAAAGGTTCTACTTGTTTTAATGAACTAAGTGTAGCTACCAATACAAGATACATTAAGCTACATCACAGAAAAAACAAAAAGTAATCAATAGTGCAATACTCAAGCTGACAAAAAGTACACAGCTTTGCTCAAACCTGCCAAAATTCGTATCTGATTTTTTTTTTTTTAGGCTTTTTTTCATAGGTTTTTTCAAAAAGCTAAAACATAACTCAACGTTTGAAAATATAGAATGAGCATTGTATACAGAGAAAATAAGGGATGATGAACAAAATAGTTTCCTCATTTTATACAAATGTAAGGAATAAACTAATACCTGCAAATATTGTACTTCATCGGAATCCATAATATCCCCTCCTTTCTTTACGGTTACAGTAGAAGGACCCGGACCTTTGAGAAGTTTGGCCTTTAACAACTGAAAGTCCCTGGCACCTGAAACACGACCCTGATCCAAAAACTAGATTAAGACACAAAACCGATACTTAACCACAAAGTACATGTCAAAGACTGAATAATTTACCAACTGATTTACGGAGAAACAGTGAACACGTAGATAACTAGTGAGACGGATGGTTCATTTCCTTCAATTGCAATCATCTTTAAGGGGCCGTGTGACATTTAAGGGCCACAATGATTGTTACAAGTGTTGGACCTATTGGCCAAACACACACAGCCACAATGCCCCTTCTTTCTCTATGCCATACAACTTATAAAGCACTGGATTTGTTAAGTCTCACACATTTCCCCCAAAAATCTTCTGCATGACACGGAGCCTACAAGAAGAGTAAGAACAGAAACTGGGGCTTGTTCTTTAATCATGCATTCCTTCACGATAGATACAATCCTTGACTTCTTGATGCTTGATGGGTCAAGAAAGGATCTGAGGTTGCGCTTCTATACAATTGTCTTACTCATCAAAAAAAAAGAAAAGAAAAAAGGATCCGAGGTTGCGCTTCTATACAATTGTCTTACTCATCAAAAAAAAAAAGAAAAAAGGAAAGGATCTGAGGGTCAAGAAAGGATCTGAGGTTGCGCTTCTATACAATTGTCTTACTCATCAAAAAAGAAGAAGAAAGGATCTGAGGTCAACCTTGTATTTTCAATTTAGAAAATCTCTGGGGTTTCAGTGAAGCAAATTAGCACTGAAATTTGCAGTACTTTGTTATTTTTGGATTTGGCGACAAGGGTGGACTTGATCCCCAAAAGATTTACAACATAAATTTGAAGTGAGTGATCTTGGTTTAAGTTTTAACAATGACTTTGAGAGTCTCATATGCATCAGTTTCAAACAATACACGTGTTTCACATTTATTCCAAAGAAGCAATACTGGGCTACAAGCATCCAACATTTTGATTTCCATTACACATGTACTTGATAGTCGAAGCTTATTCCAAATCTGTATCATTATTTGTTACATAATAAGCATTTATTTTTTCTTGAATAATTGTAAATATGTTACTAAATAATTGATTAGAAATTTTCTTACACTGATTCTAAATTCGAACAGGTTATTCAAATACGAAATACTCACCATAGCACAAGGAGGACTCGTTGATATGCCTGACGCCCTTTTCAAAATAGCTGCCCGTTTTTGCTCCTTTGTCTACATACATGCAACCATACCATCAGATAACGAAAATTTCTTTTTCCATAACTAATTCTACGACTATAATTCCAAATTTTATTTTCTGTGTATATGTACTGAATAAAAATAAAAGTTACCACAAATAATGCAACTTATAAAGCGCTTTAGGAGGACCTGTGACATTTTGGGGCCACAATAATGGTTGCAAATGTTGGACCTTTTGGCCAAACGCATGCACAACCACAACCCACACAGCCACTATGATAGTAACACACAAGTATTTAGATGATACATAAATATCAAGGAAATGCTGCTAATAGAAGAGAGAACTTATCATGTCGAGTACAATGTATTTATTATCCTTTGAGGGAGAGGAGTCTCTTAAGTACAATATTCTATCTTCTTTATTCTTTTGGGGCAATGGGTGGAAATTGTAATTCTGTGGATTGTCTTTTGGATTTTTTTGATAGCTTAAAGTTACAGTGTCGTCTTGGACGGCTTTTGTTTCCTTTCGGAGCACTCCCCTTTTTTTTGTTTTTGATAATTAAAATTTCATTAAAGACATTGTTAAAAGAGAGCTGTTTTCAGACCCAGACCCTAACTAAACTTACTGGTTCTTTAAAATTTGGACTGCAGCACGAGATCAACTCAATGGAGCACTGAACGGAAACAAACTGTGAAGATAGATTAATTCCATTCTCCGGTCAGTCAGTCCATCTGTGCACCGCTAATTTCAATCACTTGACATAAGTGCATGTCACTGAAATGTTTTGTTAATATTTAACGGCATTAATATTTGTTTTTATAGCAGTAAACCCTAAACGTTCTACTTGTTTTAATGAACTAAGTTTACCTGCCAATACAAGATACATTAATCTAGATTGCAGATAAAAACAAAAAGTAAACAGTAGTGCAATACTCGAGCTGACAACAAGTACACAGCTTTGCTCAACCCTGCCAAAATTCTTATCTGATTTCTTCTTATAGCCTTTTTTTCCATGGGATTTTTCTGAACGTTTGAAAAAATAGAATGAGCCAATTGTATATAGAGGGAATATGGGATGATTAACAAATATTTGAGAAGAAGACTCAATCAAGTTTTTCTCCATATTCAGATGTATGGAATAAACTAATACCTGCAGATATGGTACTTCACCGGAATCCATGAAACCCCCTTTTTTCCTCACAGTAAAAGGACATGGACCTTTGAGAAGTTTGGCCTTGCATAGCTGAAAGTCCACGGCTCTTGAAACGTGACCCTGATCCAAAAAGTAGAATCAATCAAAAAATTTATATTTAAACCACAAAGTGCATGTCTAAGGCTGAATAATTTGCTAACGTACAAGTCAGTATATTTGAAATGAAAATGCCGATGAGGGAAGATATAAAAAGGGTAATGTGCAGGGAAGATATAAAAAAGGTAATGTGCAACGACCCACAAAATGTATTGCCTTAGGATAGACATGCTTTGTAGCAGACTTGTTAGAGATGTCGAGCTATATTTTACATGATTGTAGACGTTTGTACCAAATGTTATTTGTTGCCTATTAAGCATTTATTTTTTCATGAATAATCACAAGTATATTAGTAAATAACAGAAAATGGGGCTTACTCTTTTTTCTTTTTTTTTTTCTTTTTCCTAAATGACGGGAAAATTTTATAAATATGTCAATAAAGGTACAATTGCGAAGGAGGGAAACCCTCAAATCACTTCCAACCTTAATAGGAGGGAACTCACAAGGGACTGGCCCCAAAATGAAACAATGTCTAAGAATGTCCTTGAGACAAACTCCCATGACATCTAAAACATCCCAAACTACACCCTTCAACCATCTGGATCTCTAGTCATATCAGAGTGCAATCTACAGTTCCTGTCATTCTATAGATAAGAATTTTGACAGGATGAAGGAATACAATAAGGAAAGCTGGCAGTCTTGGTATCATAGAATTGGTTCAGGTCAATTAGTGAGCCAAGCTAGCACAGCGGTCTGTATTCTGAATGAGATGATATTTGGTATATCAGATCAAGCAATTAATGCTTTCACAATGATGTTTCAAGAGTCCACGATAAGATGTGAAGAGATCAGAGAAGAGGAGTGAGAGAGTGTGGGAGAGAGAAAGATAAGGAAAAATGGAGGCCTGGTTGCATTGCTAGAGAGAGACTGACTTTAGAGAGGGGTAAAAGTTCTAGAGCGTGTGAAGAGGAAGAAGAAGATGGGTATTTTTGTAATTTCACAATAATAAATATTAGTTTTTAATTTAATATAAGATGGGTATTTTTGTAATTTCACAATAATAAATATTAGTTTTTAATTTAATATTAAATTATAAGGTTAATTTTGTCATTTCACAACCTAATAAATGGATGGGTCGAGGGTATGTGGTAACTTGATAGTATTCTTTTAGTTTAGGAGGTGTTTAATTTTCATGGAAGTTTTTTGAACGAAAATAATAGTGAGGGTAAGAGTTCCATCATATATATTATTTTAAGCCCTCTTATGTATAACTTGAGACGTATGCTGATGTTTTATGTTATAGGCATGTTATTGCTTAAATATTAAGCATTCTTGAATAAATGACAACTGTCACTAATTGCCTACGCTAACTCTGAATTTTAACAGCTTATTTGAGTATGAAAAATACTCATAATAACACGAGGACGACATGTTGATACACCTGAAGCCCTTTCCTCTTTCAAAATAAATGCTCCTTTCTGCTCCCTTATCTACATAAATGCAAACATTCATCAGGTAACGATTTTCCATAAATTTCTGCATTTAAATTTACAAGGTACTCATTTATTTATGGAAATCATGTAGGTATCGAATCGACCACCCCTTTCAAATACACCTTCTATAGCGCTCTCTCTTCTCTCACACCTGCTGCTGTTGTCTCGAACTTTCCCTTTTAGGTCGAAATGATTGGAGCGCTGATCCCAAAATGTAAGAACACGCGATTGATTAGTAAATCTAGACATCTTAGAACTGGAAATTAGGACTTCCAATCGATATCGATTGAGAGACCCCTTTCAAATACAGCTTCTATAGCGCTCTCTCTTCTCTCACAGCCGCTGCTGTTGTCTCGAACTTTCCCTTTTAGGTCGAAATGATTGGAGCGCTGATCCCAAAACAGATCCTCTTAAATTGGCCAGGTCCAGCGCAACAAAAGCCTGATCCATCAACTCAACTTCCAAAACACACCTACTTTAATCATAGTCAAGACCTTATATATAGAAATTCTCCTTCAACGAGGGTAGAGCCAAATCAATCTTAACGAAGGGACAAGATTAACTCCCTAGAAGGTTATACTAGGACATACAAAACATTCCAGGAAATTAAAGAATATGAAACCTTCTAGGACATACAAAACATTCCAGGAAATTAAAGAAAATGAAATGTCTAATAAAATTCTATAAAGCTTTATAGATTCCTAAAACTTCTCTGATATTCTGATATGATATAATCTACTTCTAAGTGAGTTCCAATAACATATTACACCTTACACTCCTGCCATCACACCTTACGTTCTTACCATCATGTCTTACGCTTTCACTGCGCACTCTGATCACATTAATACACCAAAATTATCTAGATTAAATAACATTAGTATATAAAAAGTCTCCAAAGTGGGTACAAAATGGTTACTTAAAAAATTTCCACCTCTGTATGTCCTAAAGGAAAAAAGAAAAAAAGGAACAAAAAAAAAAAACAGTGATTTCAGTTTTTATGGATTTTTATAAAATAATTTTTTTTTTTGGTTAAAATTGACTGTCAAACATATAATAGGAGGGGTAATTTGCACATATTAATTTTTATGCACATATTAAATAGTTGGTTTTTTTTTTTTGGCACCATTTTTTTTTTCCTATTAAATGTCATAAATTGTCCTAATACAATGGTCACTTTTTAAAGTTGACTAGTGGTGGTTGGTCCATTAGCATCACTCAAAATTACCGTCGGCCCTAACAAGACAAAAGTTCCATCCTAGAGGAACTCCACTAACTTTTTAATCAATTTAAACCACACAAATTACATTTAACATAAATTTCATTATAAGATTAATACAACAAGAACATATATATACACACACACACACATATACATATCTATCCTACAATCCCCAATTAGGAGTACTTATCATAAATCATCATAAAATTGAAAGAATCATTTGAATGGATTCAAATCTCTTTCTTGGTCATGTTTCAGGTCACAGTCTCATCACTTTTTCACTAGCATCATTTAGCAATTTGTGTAGCCTAAAAATAATAGAGAACATGTTATTGAAGATGAGCAGGAGTGTGAATTTAAGTCTAAATTTATTAAATCGTCTAAATTCGGTTATTAATATTATATTATTAATTAGGAAAAAAAATTATATTATTTAGATATTTAAATTTAAGTGAGTGGATTAATAATGAGTAAAAAGTGACTACCCATTTAATTTAATGGTTAATGGTAGGTTAATAGTGGGTATCCATCTTAACCCGCTCAAACAAATTTTTTTATTTTTTATTTTTCTGTCTCTTCTGTTTTCTCTCTTTTTCTGTCATAAAAAACAAAAAATTATATACTTGAAATCAAAAAATTAATGTTAAAACAATTATTTATTTATTTTTTGTTAGTCAACAATCATTATATTAATAATATTATTGGAAATGTAGGTGTTTCTACCTCTCTTTTCCTCATTTTCTCTCTCCTCTTATTCTCTCTTCCGTTGTTTCTCTCTCCTCCGGTTTTTTTTTTTTTTTTTGGTGAAAACTCTGCCATTCAATATCTCTTTTTTTTTTTTTTGTGATAACTCTCAAAATAAGTTGTATAATGGAAAAAAAAAAAATAGAAATATATTTTTTGATATTCAACAATTAAAATAATTTGACAATTTATATTAAAATAAAATAAAATTGAGTAATTGGATTGGTTGTGTGTTAATTACTCTATTTAATACCTTACTCTTTTATCACTCATAAGTGAATTGATAATGAATTATTAAATCAGTATTGGCTCGCCCCATTCATAATGAGTTCAAAATCAGTCCAAATTCCCTCAATTTCCACCCAATGAGAATGATATATAAATTAAGTAGAGTGTTGCAGTGCTTGTATTATTATTGCCTGATGATTAATTTTAGAATTTAGTTTCCATTCAAATAGGTTGGTTAGCATCTGACAATTGACATATAAAAAGATGGACATAAGATCCAAAAATATCCGTTAAATTAAGCAACAGTTAAACTGTCATATTCTAGGTATTTGAAGCCATTGTTTAATACTACCAATACCCTTCTATATTATGGCCCAATGATGATAAGGACATTTCGTGATAAAAATATGACTAAATTATATAGATTTCTAAATTTGGGCAAATTATACGTAATAAACTGTTTAATGTTTATTATTTTGACGAATTTGAAAAAGAACTAGTTTAGTACAATTTAATTTATCCTAAGAATATCCACTTATAGCTTTCTTCTACTTGTACATATCACTCTAGTAAAAGTATGTGCATGTAAT